TGGGCGTTTTCCCGGTGGTGCGCTGATCGGAGGTCGGAATTTTAGTTTGACTCTCTCACCGCGAGATGCCGATACCATCACATACCCCGTGATACGAGCGCGGTAATATATAGGTCGATTGTCGGGTTTAACTTACGAATTATATTATAAACCGAGGATTAAATTGATCGGCTAGGTTTAATTTAGGTTTTCTAGGCGGTATAATTCTAGGCGGTACGTATTCTTTACGTTCCCTATATACATACTACATCTTACTTGATCGATCATTTGGTAATTCGTTGAGGATTTATTGAAAGAAAATCGTTCGATTTATTGAAAGAAACACGGAAAAGTGTATCGAAATACATGTAGAATTATCGCCGACAACAAGGATAACGGCTTAACGATCGTTAACGAGTTTTACACACGTACTACGAGAGAAAACATCGTTAGGCGCTGAAACGGCTTCGAAATCACGGAGCCGTGGTAGCGTGAGAGTCAAAAAGGAATTGAGCGTAGGCGTGAAGCGATGCCTTTATAGGAATACGAGAATCAACGTGGAAACTTAATTATTCGGGTTATCGTGCGCGTGTGCGTGTGCTTTCGTCGAGTGTTTCATCTATTAGAAAATAACGTTGACCTCATCTCTTTCGACGCGATACGAAAAGTGTTTCAGCGTCTTTAGAACGATTCGATTCGTTCGACGCTTATCGATCGTGCCAACTATCCGTACCTTTTCCAGGTGAAAATTGATACGAAAATAAATTGAACCTAACACGGCAACGAGGAAAAAATGCAGAAGAAAGCGACGTTGGAAACATAAACATCTACCGAAAGTTTCGCACCAGTTTGCATCGATCTCGAGAAAAATTAGCTGCGTAAATACCGCGACCGTGTTCCCCATTAAACGAATCGCGAGGTTGCGCTATTCCAAACACAGCGGGTTTTTACGGCCTACTGGCTGGAATCACTGAGATTCTCCCGTTTGTTTTCTCACCGCATGAAACGAATTAGCGCCCGATTAGTGACCGAACCCTTTGGGAGCCCGAAAAAATTCTCACGGTCCAACGTGTATCGAGAAGAAAACCGGTGAGAAAGCAAAGAACGAAACGGTCGTGGTATATATTTTCACAAAGTCCGTTAAGGCATCGCCAACCGATCGGGGAGATCTACATAGGTAATTTTCGTCACGTCGCATTGCGTGCTTTTCTGAATCCTGATCCTGTCAGGTTAGATCCTCGAATGCTCCAATGTTATGCAACGCGGCGTACAGATGGTGGCACCGTAATTCTCGTCTCTTCGATCGCTTCCTATGAAATGTCAGTGGTAGACAACGCGAGATGCTCCGAGGTAAAAGACATTCGTTCCCCCACCCTTCCCGCCCGCCCGCCCGTCCACTTCGAGTGAAACGTTTTGGTTTCGGATGAACCAGCGAAACGAGACAAAGAGTATAGATATCACGCGGGACACTTCGTATAACGGTGTACACGGTCTGCGTCGTGATATATCTGACGTCGGTGTTACGCAACCATATATAATCCTAGATTACAGCAAATTAGATTTTTGCCCGTGGTGCACTTCTATCCGAATCATATATGGAGGCGCTTGCCCTATCGGATAGCCATCGGGCGCGAGCGATCTGGCATGCGCGGCCGTTCTCGTGAATGGGCACGGCTCGTGGACCAAGCGGCGGCCGTATGAATGAAATAGTAAATATAATTGACAGAAGGGCAGGCGTGGGCAGGCCAGTCAGAACAGGCAAGCAGAAACAGGCGGAACGAGGTGCAA